CCACAACCAATTGACTAGATTATTGTCAGCGGGCTTCCCTCAAACGGTCTTGACCAGTATGGCACTGCCACCCTACAGAAAGTGAAAGGTCACACAACCAGGAAAGTGACGCAGTCGGCACTGAGCAATATCAGGCCAGAGGTTGTACCATATGTACACAAAATGGCGCACAACCTCAAGAAGGTTGTGAACAGGTACGGAGTACCTCTCGTGTTTTCAGCGCCAAAGAAACTCGGACAACTTTGCCCTCGAATTACTAAAGAAATCAAGAACGAGCGAGGATGTGGCACGAAGCACGCCAGGCCGTACATCGAATGCGTCGCAGGGGTCGTGTATGAAATCCCCCTAACGTGTGGAAAATCTTACGTTGGACAAACGGGAAGATGCACGAATGACCGTTTAAGAGAGCACGCGCAAAATTTAAAGACAAATGACGGGGCACATTTGCCCGCGCACTGTAGGGCCTGCAAATGCGAGCGACGATTCGGCGATACCAAGATTCTCGGTAGAAGAAGAATTCAAAGGGCACGCGAACTGCAAGAGGCATATTTTATCAAGAAGAGGGGACCCCAGTGCGTCAGCGACACGTCAATAGCACTGTACACCGCTGAGATTCGTTTTTTCGATAAATACATGGTAAACGGTTTTATGCTCTTGTATCTCGCGCATTAGTAGCATGGGTGACGATAAGTGTATCAGATATATATATATATATATATATATATATATATGTTGAGTCAAAGACTCCCTTCGAAAGTCTGCCCTCTGTTGGAAGTCGTGAAATCTTTGCACAATGGCGGACACAAATGCGAAATTTCTGCGTTCGGCTGCGCCTCGTCTGGACGACCTCCGTAGAAACTACAACAGCAAAGACCAAAAATTAGTACATTGCATCACTGTTGAGTCAAAGACTCCCTTCGAAAGTCTGCCCTCTGTTGGAAGTCGTGAAATCTTTGCACAATGGCGGACACAAATGCGAAATTTCTGCGTTCGGCTGCGCCTCGGCTGGAGGACCTCCGTAGAAACTACAACAGCAAAGACGAAAAATTAGTACATTGCATCACTGTTGAGTCATAGACTCCCTTCGAAAGTCTGCCCTCTGTTGGAAGTCGTGAAATCTTTGCACAATGGCGGACACAAATGCGAAATTTCTGCGTTCGGCTGCGCCTCGTCTGGACGACCTCCGTAGAAAATACAACAAAGACCAAAAAATTAGTACATTGCATCACCGTTGAGTCAAAGACTCCCTTCGAAAGTCTGCCCTCTGTTGGAAGTCTTGAAATCTTTGCACAATGGCGGACACAAATGTGAAATTTCTGCGTTCGGCTGCGCCTTGGCTGGACGACCTCCGTAGAAACCACAACAGCAAAGACCAAAAATTAGTACATTGCATCACTGTTGAGTCAAAGACTCCCTTCGAAAGTCTGCCCTCTGTTGGAAGTCGTGAAATCTTTGCACAATGGCGGACACAAATGCGAAATTTCTGCGTTCGGCTGCGCCTCGGCTGGACGACCTCCGTAGAAACTGCAACAGCAAAGACCAAAAATTAGTACATTGCATCACTGTTGAGTCAAAGACTCCCTTCGAAAGTCTGCCCTCTGTTGGAAGTCGTGAAATCTTTGCACAATGGCGGACACAAATGCGAAATTTCTGCGTTCGGCTGCGCCTCGGCTGGACGACCTCCGTAGAAACTACAACAGCAAAGACCAAAAATTAGTACATTGCATCACTGTTGAGTCAAAGACTCGCTTCGAAAGTCTGCCCTCTGTTGGAAGTCGTGAAATCTTTGCACAATGGCGGACACAAATGCGAAATTTCTGCGTTCGGCTGCGCCTCGTCTGGACGACCTCCGTAGAAACTACAACAGCAAAGACCAAAAATTAGTACATTGCATCACTGTTGAGTCAAAGACTCCCTTCGAAAGTCTGCCCTCTGTTGGAAGTCGTGAAATCTTTGCACAATGGCGGACACAAATGCGAAATTTCTGCGTTCGGCTGCGCCTCGGCTGGAGGACCTCCGTAGAAACTACAACAGCAAAGACCAAAAATTAGTACATTGCATCACTGTTGAGTCAAAGACTCCCTTCGAAAGTCTGCCCTCTGTTGGAAGTCGTGAAATCTTTGCACAATGGCGGACACAAATGCGAAATTTCTGCGTTCGGCTGCGCCTCGTCTGGACGACCTCCGTAGAAAATACAACGAAGACCAAAAAATTAGTACATTGCATCACCGTTGAGTCAAAGACTCCCTTCGAAAGTCTGCCCTCTGTTTTAAGTCTTGAAATCTTTGCACAATGGCGGACACAAATGCGAAATTTCTGCGTTCGGCTGCGCCTTGGCTGGACGACCTCCGTAGAAACCACAACAGCAAATACCAAAAATTAGTACATTGCATCACTGTTGAGTCAAAGACTCCCTTCGAAAGTCTGCCGTGTGTTGGAAGTCGTGAAATCTTTGCACAATGGCGGACACAAATGCGAAATTTCTGCGTTCGGCTGCGCCTCGGCTGGACGACCTCCGTAGAAACTACAACAGCAAAGACCAAAAATTAGTACATTGCATCACTGTTGAGTCAAAGACTCCCTTCGAAAGTCTGCCCTCTGTTGGAAGTCGTGAAATCTTTGCACAATGGCGGACACAAATGCGAAATTTCTGCGTTCGGCTGCGCCTCGGCTGGACGACCTCCGTAGAAACTACAACAGCAAAGACCAAAAATTAGTACATTGCATCACTGTTGAGTCAAAGACTCCCTTCGAAAGTCTGCCCTCTGTTGGAAGTCGTGAAATCTTTGCACAATGGCGGACACAAATGCGAAATTTCTGCGTTCGGCTGCGCCTCGGCTGGACGACCTTCGCAGAAACTACAACAGCAAAGACCAAAAATTAGTACATTGCATCACTGTTGAGTCAAAGACTCCCTTCGAAAGTCTGCCCTCTGTTGGAAGTAGTGAAATCGTTTGCACAATGGCGGACACTAACACGGAATTTCTGCGTTCGGCTGCGCCTCGGCTGGACGACCTCCGTAGACACTACAACAGAGACCAAAAATTATTATATTTCATCACTGTTGAGTCAAAGACTCCCTTCGAAAGTCTGCCCCCTGTTGGAAGTTGTGAAATCTTTGCACAATGGCGGACAGAAACCCGAAATTCGTGCAGCGGGAGCACAAGTAAAAACGACCCGATTGCCCTTTTCGCACGTTCCTCTCTGTCGGTTGTTACGCCATTGTGCAGTGGGTCAGTTCTGTCGAGGGGAAGGGGTCTGTGGCTGAGTGGGCTGAAGCGCACACCCAGCTCGACGCGCGTGGAGCGAAAGCTCGCGCTGCAGAACCCAGGGATCCTGGGTTGGAGCCCCACCCCTGCCCGTTTCGATCTGGATGAGCATCGTAGCGGCGTGCGGTAGTGTATCACTACTGCGTGGTGCACGTTAAAGACCCCAGGCTAGCGGTTGTACTGCACTGGCTAAATTGCTCATCTGCAAGGTGTGACTCGTTGCAACTTTAACGGCTGACCAACTACACGCTGTATAAATATCCCTAAGACCCAATTTTTTTTTCTCCTGTCAATCGTGACGTGGTTTTCGAAAGGGCTCTATGGGCGACGTGAGCGATCGAAAGTGTCGCTGTCGTCGGCCCACCACAAGTGGCCAAATGCTGACTCTGACGCCAGCAAAGGATGTCTTATCGACGGAAATAAGACGAAGTTATTTTTTCAAAGCTAAAAGCTGACCGTAAACTATATTCTACATTTACAGACACTGACGTACATTACAATTTTAGACACAGAAATTTTAAAACAATTAGAACCAGAACTAATTACGGTACACAATTATTAACCTGGCAAATTCCTAGCCTCCTGAACCTTTACCCTCTCTTAGTTGAAATGATCTATAATAGCTCCTCACTGTTCTTCAGAAAACTAGCAAAAATGTATTTTCTTCATCCGTTGTAGATTGCTGTTTTGTCTGTTCTCATCATATATATCAATGTATTCGTAATTATGTTGCTGTCAGAATATTTCTCTATATATTTCTATGACTTTATAGGTAGTATATGTTGATTGCTGCCTGTAACGTGAGTTTATAAAACAGGCATAAATGCATTTGCTTGATCCGTTGTAGTTTTTTTTTCCTTTGTTTGTGTGTGTAGGGTCCAATCATATATATCGGTGTATTTGCAATTATGTTGCTGTTATATAATTTTCTTTTGGTAAACTTATGACCTCATAGGTAGTACACACACACACACACACATATATATATATATATATAAAGAATGACGAATGTTGACAAATGCTTCCTTTGATTTGTAGGTCAAAGTAATGTGCACAGACACAGCAGCCGTAGGATGATAAAAATAAAATTCTAATTTAATGGCGAAAATAGTCACGTTTCGTCACTTTTTTCGCCCATTAAATTACAATTCTATATTCATCATCCTACGGCTGCTGTGTCTGTGCACATTACTTTTGCCTATATATATATATATATATATATATATATATATATATATATATATATATAATGTATATATATACACTTTTTTTCTTGTTTTGCTGTGTGTTTGCCTGCTGCCTGTGTTGTGAGTGTAGCCTGGTACTAGGGGCCTGGTCAGGCGACTTTATTGTCGCCTTTTGGCCCAGCTCCATGACAATCTCTGTATTGTCAGAAACTTCAAATAAACAAATGTAAGAACTTCAATTTTGACAGTGTTGGCAGTGTTGATTTGAGACGGCTATGATTTCAGGCTTCCAGAATGCTCATTACAAACACCCTCGAGCTTGTTGTTCACAAGGTAATGACGTCACGAAAGGTAACCGAACGAGGGCACCACAGAAACATCTCGTCGCTAATAAACGGAGACACGCATCAAAAGAAGACCGTGTATACTTAGAGACGCTGCAGGTCCCAAAAAGGGTCGGCTAAAGGTCATTCTTTAATTAAAGTGTATGTACTCAAAGAACGTAGTTTTGAATTACTTTTTTTTTACTACATAAAAGTGCCGGTCACTCGAGCAGCTTCTCGAACGCCTCAGTCAGAGCGCTTTCCGAGAACTTGGTGGCGATGGTGACGTTCCTTGAGACGCCTGGCAGCTGACTCTCCTTCCAGGCTTGTACCATCTGCCCCCTGGTGAATCTGCCTGCGAGCTCCACGGATACGCGAGCCACGTACGATGACGTCACCGCGTCTGGCACTAGGACGGCCAACACCGCTAGGGGGTCCCCAACCACGTAGCCCTCGTCGTTTTCTTTGCAGCAGGACACGCTGTTCCGAGTAGTGTCCGCGAAGAAATGCGCCTCTCTACTCATGCCTCGGATCAGGCGTTCGTAGATGTCCTGCACACAACGGGGAAAGCGAAGGGGGATTAGTAACCGAGTGCGTTGGGGCGACGCCTGAACAACAAAACCGAACTGAAAGAGGTGTTTCCACAGGACATGGCATACGCCGTGACGCGAAGTATCTGCCTTTGCAGTGAAAGTTGCTGTACGTGAGTCCGTTTTCAGTTTGTACATCAACCACGCAAAAAACAAGGCTTGCCTCCTCGCATTCGCCTCTTTCCCCTTTTTAAATGAGTGAACGATAACAACAGCGAAGGCCTTGACGACAGCCAGCAGATCGTGTGAGTGGCTGTCCGCACCCACATGATGAGCGCACTCCAAGCCAGGGGTCGGCAAACTTTTGCAGCAGTGGGCCAAGTCGTCACTAGGCCGACACGGAGGGGGCCGGACAGCAAGTCGCGAAGTGTGCCTGTGTACGTGTGCGGGGGGTGGAGGGTCAGGCGAAGAAAACAAAAAAAAAAAGAATATGAGGACGTTTTCTGCTCAAAACTGGGGATGTCGGACAACGCATATTATAAGGGCAGGTTCCCGTCTGACCGCATTTAAGGTAAAAACAGCAGTGTGGTCTTTGAGTTCGTTAGAGGAAGCAGAGGAAAGGAGGTGGGGGGGGGGGGGGGGGTTGCTTTTTTGTTGTCGTGCCGGGGGACGCATGAAACTGTGTCGCGGGCCACGGGTTGCCGACCACTCTCCTGCGGGTCGCGGGCCGCGAATCCCTCTTCCTAGAAGCAACTGGAGGCTTCCCTCGAGCAGAAAACGTCGCCGCAAAAAGCCTCATCGATCACTACGGGTACGAAAACACTCGTCCGCGGCGATAAGTTCACGTCGTTTTCGAGGACCCGGACCGCGAATGACGTCGCTTTGGTTTCCTTCGGTGGTGGAGCACAGTTTTATAGCATCTGCCGGGTTTGCTCGAGGTCGATGACGGCGCCATACTCGCAGAGTAAGTCCATTCGGAGGATAACATCCCTCGAACAGTCTTGCAGAACGACGAACTTGACAGGGCACGTCTCACCGTGGATCTCGACGCGAGCAGTGCAAATCCCAACTGGTGTGATGAGGTGCTCACCGGAAGACCGTATCTGTCGGCCATCCCACGGTGTCGTCAGTTTCCGAAGGCTTCGGGAGAGTCCCTCACTCAGAAGGGAGTGCTCTGCTTCGGTATCGACGAGCGCCGACGCGTCGTTGCCGTCGATAACGACGTTTAGGCTATCCTTTACCGTCGCTGGAGCGTCGTTTCAGTCCCTGGCGCCGTTCAAGGGGGGAGGGGGGGGGGGGCGTGAGGGGCCTCCGACGTTCCTGGAATATCTTGGAGTCGGTCGTCTCCGCAGCTCCATCTTCAGGGATGGCCGTGCCTAGTTTTCCCGGCGAGGAGGGAGGGGCGACAGGCTTTCGCGTCGAGTACGGTGCATCGGCGAAACTGGACGTCGCGGCGACGGCGACCGGAACTCTCGGCGGCACGCAGGCTCGAGGGACTAAGGTCGTCGCAGCTACTTGTCGAACTCCCTAGGGCGTTCATCGTAACGGGGGCGCGAGTCGTTCCTGTGTAACCCATGCAGTTCGAGTCGTCGGTATAAGCATCGGCGGTAGGTGTGCTCTGCTTCTCCGCAGTGGAAGCAAGAGGGCGTCGGTCAGGCGTTGGCCACACGTCGGTCTTCCGGGGTGCGCGGGGCTCCTGGCAGGCGTACTGGACGTGGTCGTCGTGGTGTCGGTCGAGCTGCGGCGCAGGAGACCGACGTCGGGGCGGCGCGACATAAGTGCGAGGAGGAGGCGGTGGTCGTCGGGCCACTGCGGCGTAAATCAACGTCTTGGCAGCCACGAGGAACCCATAGTCTTCTTCACACACAGCATCGGCGATGGAGAGCGAAGCTGGTCGGTCAGTGGCAGGTAGTGCTTTTCGTAGCTCTTCCTGAACGACGTCACGGATGATCTGTTGAATGCCTGGGATGCGGGAGCCAAAAACGCAGCTAGACTGCTCGAAGGTAGCGAGGCCGGGTGGTCGATGGTAATGACTGGCTCGGACTTGCGGGGCACGCTCAATGTTCCTTGCCTCGATGACAAAATCTTCAACTGTTGTTGGAGGGCTGGGGACAAGGCCACTGTAGATGTCTCTCACGCCCCGCATGAGGGTCCGTAGCTTCTTCCCTTCTGTAGCCCGAGTGTACGAGCGGGCGCTGAGGCGCAGAACGTCCTCCACCAAGCCGGTGACGCTCTCGTTGGGGCCCTGGGTTGTGGTTGGCAGTAGATCCTCGGCTCTCTCTCGGCGGCGGTGGTTGATAAATGCGCCCTCCTGCCCGCTCTTGAGAACGTCCCACGATGTCAAAGATGACTCATGATTTTCGTACCAGTACTTGGCAGCCCCCTCAAGCGAAAGATAGACGTTGGGCAAGCGCTGCTCCTCGGTCCAGCCATTGTGGCTTGGAATGCATTCGTACTGGTCGATCCAGTCCTCGACGTCTTCGTATTGCTCGCCGTGGAACGGAGCAGCCGTCCGCGGTGCGACGGGCAGGTAAACGACGGCGGCGGTGGTCGGGGTCTGCGATAACTGGTGGTCCACCTTTGGCCTCGTTGTCTGGTTGGTCTTGGTTGGCAGAAATCCGTATTCCGAGTGTGGACTTTGGTTCCGGCGACTCGATCGGGTCTTGGTCTGGTCTTTTTTGAATCCTTGGGTGCTTGAGATCTGACTTGCACTGTGGGCCCTCCGAGGTGTGCGCTGCACGGACATGCGTTAACCCGCACTTCCACCAAAATATCACGAATGGCGAGGTGACGAACAAGGAATAACTGAGGAAGCTGAAACGTTTACTGGGGCGAAATTGTGCCCAAAACAAAAGGGAAACGAAAGATAGCAACAGAGCGTCACGAGTGTCGAAGTCGGCGTAACAGCGGAATTGAAGGCTGGGGCGACACTGACCGCGGCTTGCCACTCGTGGAGCACCTTCAGTAGCCGCGTGGTCTCAGGAAAATTCGGCCTATAATGTGCGGCGCGTAGAATATTCGTAACTTGATCAGACAAGAAAGTTCTAGAACTTTTGAGAACGTCAAGTAAAAAGAATAAATAAAAGAGTGAATAAACGAGTATTCCGCTATCTGGAGTCGAACTCAGGCCTTCCGCGCCACAGCCAAGCACGGTACCCGTTCGGACAAGCACGCGCTCGTTCAGCGACGCGCGTGGCAGTAGATGGTTTGGCGCGTAAAACATTCGTAGAAGAGCAACAAAAGTCTCAAATGCACGAGTACGCGACATTTACAGAAATTGCGAAAACGTGCGTCCGCTCTCAGGCTTTTAGCATCGGCCTTTTGCGTGCAAGCCAAGCACGATAACCATTTGGCCACGTGCGCGCTACTTACTTGGCTAGTTGCGCGCGGGGCAAAATTAACGATCTTCCTATACAGGTTTTTTCCTAATAGCCTTTTCCTGATGATTGTGGTATTCACAAAAAGAATTGCTAACGACTCCGACATTTCTGTTATTCAGTTTGATATTAATGTGCTCAACGGTGGGGTGTCCGGCATATAAAACTTAACACCACTAAATGTAAATATATGAGATTTTCTTGCCAAAATAACACGTGTCCTTTCTACTTTATTAACCTTTCTATGTTTCTTACTGTGCCTTCCTAAGCATATCCGGGTCATCGTATAACCAATGATCTGTCCTGGAATATTGATAAGTGCTAATCAATTGTTGGGTTACATGAATCGAATTTTTTTGCTCGCACCTTTGTTATGAAACTTTTCTGTTCGTACGAAACTGAGTGCGCACAAAACTTCTCATTCGTACCAAACTCTTGTTCGAACCAAACTTGAATATGCTACCTCAATCTGGGACTCCGGCGTCAGCCTCTCATCTGAAGTAAAATATAATCAAAATTGCTCTGCTCGTTTTATTTTTTTCAAATATCACTGCACATCTCTGTCATTGTCTAATCTCTCCCTTCGCAGAAAAATATATCATGCAAGATTCTTCAACAAGAGTTATCACTCTAACCTAACAGTTTGAAATGTGATATTATCCGAACTATCTTGCATAGCATCACCAACTGATCACTAAGTAAAACTTGGAATACACCGCCTTAATACGTCCACTTCCAATGCTACTTTGTTTGGCGAAAATCTCTACAGGCTGGAGTCACCTTCCCGCAGACATTGTCGGCATTACTGACACTGATGACTTCAGTGTTTCAATTACTAATTTTTTACATGATGCCTCGTAGTGTTTCTGTTTTTCTCCTTACTACTGTTTCTAACGTGTTGTTGTATTTGAGCCACTCATCCCTGTAATGCTCTCTACCCCTCAAAGAAAAATAAATGAAACAAAATGAAATTGAAAGTAACTGTTTTTTTATTGAGTCAGCGATAATACAACATGTACAGAAACATGACGAACATTATGATAATAATCTTTTGACTTTTTCCGATTGCTACCATCAGTTCTATAGTGTCGGTTGCGTCTTAACCTAAAAAAAAAACTCTGAAAAGAAAAAAAAAATAAACAGGCTGGCTGGGTCACGCGTGTCAAGAAATTAATTAGAGCAATATTGACGGCGCTAGATTTATTTTAATTTCTGCGGGCCAAGTCCATGACGTCACGGAATGGTCATACCCTCCTTCCACGTCCATGTGATAGCCGATCCCCCTCTCCTCCACGCGCCCGAAATGCCGAGCGACAAAACAAGTGGAAAGGAAGGGACTACCGACTACTTCTCGCCTTGCGCCGTCAATATTCCTCTAAACTTTTTTTTTTTTGCGTAAAATTTATTTTTTGAGACGCGTGCCCTAAACAGACCGGTTAAAAAAACATTTCTTTTCTTTTCTGGGGCCCATTAAGGTAAAACGACGTGTAAAAACACAAAAAAAAAATTAAGAGCATTTTTTTCAGGTCGTCAGAAGTAGATGTAACGAGTAAACTACGTTACCCGTAACTTCAAATATGTAACGTAAGTACGTTAGATGTTACTGGTTTGAAAAAGTAACAAGTACGTTGCTACGTTACCGAAAAAAAGTAACGCGTTACAAGTTGGCCCGTTACTTTTGACGCGATCCCGCCAACGCTGCTTGAAAAAGCTTGTAATCCGTTCGGAACAAAACCTACAGTCCAGAGAGGAAACTCCTGCCTTACGCTCACGTCACGTTTTTCTGTGTTCTTGCCCGTAGAAACATTTTGAAAAACTCGGTGAGGACCAAAATTGTAAGTTCAATAACTTCGCGAAAACAAAATTTGGCGGAATATTTGGGTCATTAATTGAGGGATGTTTAATTGGTGCGTTCAGCAGCAAAACTGTATGCAAATCACGTAATATAAAGAAGACGCCGGAGTACCTCTTCAACGGTCCTGCCTCCGTTGACGCGTTCAATCTGTCCGCTTCGTTGAAACAAATAGGCCGAGTAAGCGTCGATTTTACGTTCGATACGCAAAGTCGGTGCCCCTGCCATCGTTTCGTTCGTTCTCTGCTTGCCCTTTTCTCCAGATGTTCTTGTATTGTTTAATGAAACGCCTTTTGACTTCCGGGAAGCCACGTTCCGTCATAAAGGTGTGCAGCGTCCCCCACTTTCTGTATTGGTTTGCATGCACACGATTAGTTATGGGCGCCGATTTTGGTGCTCGTGCACTAGAATGACTTATCGGCAGTGACTCATGCGGCAGCAATTCATTTTTTCTAAGAAGAAGATTGCGTCAAAAAGTGTTTGGCTCATGTTTGTTGAAGTACCCGGTATAGACGCTTTAAACACGCGCCAGATTGAGCCGCCATTGCCGACCTTCTCTCGTCTTACCGGGATGCCGAGTCACTGAAGCGGACCAGCCTCCACAGAGGCCTATGCTGAGGTGAAGGACACAGTAGCACCTAAAGTGGCAAAAACCTGTTCTGCTCTGGCAATGATGCAGTGAAGCGAACGGAATCAGAGGAAACAAAAACTAAAGGTCGGTCATGGCGGCGCCCATGCACAGCTGCCTGAAAGCGTCTATAACTTTTTGTACACCCAAAGAACGGTCTTTAGCTAAAGAAGAAAATACCTTGTTTTGTATCTGTATTGAATGCACCTTATTCGAGCCTTCGAACCACAAATGAAGGGCACACCAAGATTTCTTCACCTTTGAGAACACATCGGCATCGTTTCGTTGTATCGGTTTTTATAGTTTTTTATGCCCCACACTACGATAGGTGCTGACAGTGTCGATCGTACGGAAAAGTTAAAATGGCGACAGCGAGGAGGCCTGGGGAGAGGGTGTACGCATGAGCACAAGCTTATTGAAAAATAGGTTCCTTTCATAAGAGTCGAAATCATTTGGCAACCCACCCAGGGCAGCGGAGACTCCCGAACAGTTTCCCATGGCACAACCGTGATCGGGCAGCGAGCCCGCGAGAGGACCACGCCGGCCGCTTCCGGATCCACGTAGAAGTTGAATGAAGTTCCGGGCTGGATGTTGCCCTGACCTGCGACAGAGCAACACACCACTTGTCGTAGTCATCTTTCGACTTAGATACATCGGGTTTGTAGCAGGCTAATCATTGGCTTCGATGGAAGTTTTACTGGAATCGACTTGACGGCAGGTGGAGCGAAAGCTTGCGCTGAATACTCTGACGTTGTTACTTTGCCCGATTTTATGTGGACGTTAACAAAACCCGAGTATGGGTGAAGCCTTTAAAGTGACCGCATATATAGGCTTAGTAACGTATTCCGGAACGATTTACCACACCGCTGCCTGAAAGTCGAAGTATCCCATGAAAGTTTCCAAAACAAACTTACGTAAGTTAAAAAAAAATAACTGTTTTTCTTTTTCTACGGCCCATGTGCTAAGGGCGGCCCAATCCACACTCGAATCTGGGTGTGCGGGAAATTGCAGGACCCGAAACTGATGCCAACTCTGACATTCTCTGATTTTCGGGGGCCGGATCTAAAGTTTAAAATACTTTAACTTTCGGGACACGCAAACGACTCAACGGGATCGGGGGGAGGGAGGGAGGGAGGTTTGTTTCCTCTTGATTTTCGGGTACCTTACAGAAGGACAAAAGAAGGCTTAGGGAGCAGAGGCTTTTGCAGTAATTTCTCCCTCGAAGTAACTCCAAAATCCTCCCCTAAAAAAGGGAATATTTCTCCCTCTCCCGTCCGCGGCGTTTAATGGTCGTCGTTTCTGTCTTTCCCGCCGCAACGAGCACAACAAACAACTTCACTGACGCTTAACCCGTCGCCTATTTTCTAGCTGCGTCGTCCCAACAAATCCGCACACTTTGGCAACTGCTTAACCAATATATGCCACACCGAATCTACAAAAAAAGTGCCCCCCCCCCCCCCCCCCCCAAAAGAAAAAATTAACGTGGGGGACGTTTAAGCTCCGCCTTTAAGAGCGGAAGGCGATAGCCTTATCGGGTCCGGTTCGTAAAACCTTGTCATAGAAACACGTGCTCTTTGTCCAGCCGTGCAAGCCTGTGCGCGTGGTCTAGTCGGTAGAGCCACCTGTCAGGTGACGTCACACGTGGCTGTGACGTCATGACCCTACTGGCCCATAAATTTTGGCAGGAAACTTTTCCGCTAAATTTGGCGTGAACATTTTTTGATAAATTTGGCATAAAAATTTTCCGCTAAATTTGGAAGAAAAATATCCTGGTAGATATGGTTGAAAAAAAAAATTGCGCAAAATTTACCTGGTAAATCTCAATGCAACTCGCGCAGCGAAGTGTGACGTCACGCAACGCACGTGGCAGCGGCACTTCATTATACATTTTTTTCGTTCCACCGACGCCGACGCCGACACCGACACCGCCGCCGCCGCCGAAGTTTCTTTGAGACGAGCTCTAAAGGCTATCGCATTAGAAAACACCCTTGATATTGAAAAAAAAAGTATCACCGAAAACGGACAATCCTCGTTATAAAAGAAAAAAAAATTGTAAAAAAAATTTCCAATCATTTCACTTTCAACTAACTCGCAGCTGCCTGTTCAAGCGCGCTTTTCTCCGGGGTACGTACGCTACGGGTACGAGTACGTAACCAAATTCCATCCTGGAGCCTCCGTCAATCGTCCCGTGGAACCTTTTATCGATGCTAAAGCGGGAAGAAATTCATAACCTACTGATATCCAGTGCGTCGTTTTCGGCGATCTACTGAAGAGTAGTCCGTCCGTCGGCGATGAACTGCGCGAAGACGTTTAGCGTTGAGCAGATTGCAGCGTTCACGCATATTGCGAGCGGTAAACATTTTCACAAAAAAACTCCTCCATCTGCGCGGCGATCTCATTCAACCGCGGTAGGTCACGGAAAGAATTTCCGAGATGAGCACCACGTAGTTTCCCATAACACTGAACTCCGCGAACACCACGTCGCCCATGCTGCGCCAGTCGAGGTTACCGCCATCTTGAAATATGTGTTATCGCTGGACCCGAGATATCTCGAGAACTTCCCGCGAAGCCCGCTAACCCGCAAAGCAAAATCGCAAGCGTTGCGTGCGTACGTAATGCGCTAGCCCTTCTATTGCGTTTTGCGCATGCGCTCTCACGACCCGCAATTTTTTCGCGTGCGCAAAGTTTTAGCTTACGTCTACTAAAACTGTCTAATGTATTTTATAGCCGTTTTTTATCAAAAAAGCGTTGCGTTCCAACGCCACGCTCGACCGGCATACAGGTCAGGGTCATAGAAACAATAGAGCGCCACTCTATATTTTTTATACGACCTAGACGTCAGGCGTCATATCAATACATAACGTCACAGCGACCTGACGAGTCGTCACAACGCCATGCAGCAACACGATGACGCCTCAACTTCAACGTCATCGCCGACGTTGACAACACACGTTACACGACATTCAGACTGAGTTCTGACGTCATATCGCGTTGACATCGCCGTCGATGTCAACGTTGCTGTTAACGTCGACGACGACGACGTCGCGCAAATTCAAGACAATGGCGTCCTTGTCGTCAACGCGACTTCATAAAGACGCTTGAAGTCAGGTCGTCGACATCGTTGTCGACATGACGCTACTCGACGTCACAAGGACATCCCTACAACTTCACAACGTCGACATCATCGTCGATGACGACGTTACACAACGCCAAAACTTCGTTGTGACGTCACGTCGACGTTGACGACGACGTCACGCGACTTCTGGACGACGTTAGCATGACGTCATTGCGACATTTGACGTGGCGTGGGGCGTAGATGTTAACTTCGGCGACGAGGTCGTCCTCGACGTGGCGCGACGTCACAAACGCGTTACAACGGCGACTTGGTGCCGCGTATTAGCGTTATCTATGACGTCATGCAACGTCGCGACGGCCTTACGACGGCATCTTGGCGTCGCGTAACGTCGTCGTCGGCGATGACGTCGGGGCGTCGTCGTAACGAAACGTTGTCGTGGCGTTGTTTCTTGAAGTGACCTCTGACGTCAAGATCATAAAGAAACAATATAGGCACTAAGGAGCTACATTTCCCATATGACCTTGACCTGTGGATCGATCTAGCGTAACGCTTGAAGATTACGGTCGAGCGTGACGGTGGAACCAAAAGCATGTGTCATAGAAACCGGCTGAATAAACCACATTCCGTGTTACAAACATTTAATCAATCCTTTCTTCAGTTCGCTGTTTCTAAATTAGACTCGTTTCATAGAAAGGACTAATGTACCAGATCACTGCCTCTTTTGTACTGAAAACATCTGCCCCATATCTGGCTTCGTGTTATCTTGGGGTGAAGAAAAAAATGAGAGGGGGGGAGGGGGCGCCACCTGTCCATACAATGATGATATAGATTTTCTGCTGCACGCTGCTACTACCGCAACATATGTGATTCCAATAGTTCGGAACGCATATTACATAGCGGGTGAGCAGCAACATATTTTTGTGGAACACGAACACTCGCATTGCAGAGAGTTTCGTGCCAACAGTGTGTGTGGGGATAAATGGATTCCATTAGCGCTTGACGACGGAACCTGGCGTGACATGGGCTTCGGATTACACTCTGCCATAGAAATATGTAGCTTACAAAAGTGAATAAACGTAAAGAACACTACGTACGACCCCACACGACTTACGCGGCAGACGAACGAGCAGGTGGTAAACTTTAGAATGTGCGCACACCAGCAAACACCAGCGCACATTAGCTCGGAACACGTGGAGGGGAAGCTCGCGCTGCAGGTCCCAGGATCCTGGGTTGAATCACCACCCCTGCCCGTTTTGATCTGGATGAGCATCGTACCGGCGTGCGGTCCTTTATCACTATTGCGTGATGCAGGTTAAAGACCCCAAACTAGCTTTTGTACCGAAATGGCTAAATTTCTCCTTTACAGCGGGGAGACTCGTCGCCCGTTGAGGCAGGCCAATTACTAGGCTTTATAAATATACACACAGCCCAATTTTTTTTCGTATTGCCGAGGTCAAGGATTAGACGAAGAGCAGGTAAAAAGGAATTGCAGCGGCGAGGGTCCTCTGGGGTTACTCTCACTACAAAGTCTGTGTGTAAGTTGTTACCTGTGTCAGGGCTCACGTGTCGTAATGTCGTACTGTGCCTGTCGTCAGGCACGCGTCACTACCCCGAGCTGCGAGAGAGCGCTGGGCAGTGAAGCCACTCAAATAGCACCGAACGATGCTGTGAAAGGTTCTAAGGTCTGATCCAGCTTTAACGTTAGGGAAGCCCAAGCCGAGCTGGGCTGAACGGAACTTCAGCAGGATGCTAAGATTTCACTCAAGCGAGCTTTATGAAAGGCCTGTCGCGACAGGCGTTTCTTATTGCCGGTTGCAACAAGGTGCTACACGATTTTTTGGAGTAGCAGACGGTAGCACTTGGGACGCAGTCTTTCCGCAAACCGGGCTTCGGTTACTTCTCATGGTTCCAGGTGTTTTTTTGGTCTCGGGACATGACAGTCCCTGCACCTCCTCTTTCAAGTCTGCATTAAACGCGGCTAAAAGCGTGGTAAAAAAAGCCTAAATCCTGGTAACAGCTGCCACGTCAAATACCCAAAAAGCGTCAAAAACGCAGGATCGCACGAGAGAGGCTTAGTCACTTAGTTCACGTCGTTTACGTTTTCTGTCTTGTATGGGGAAGCGGCGCACTTCCGTGGCAATAGCGGGCGACTGTTGATCGGGCAGGCATTATCAGTATAAAGGAGTCTATGTCCAGATATGTGCACTGAGCGGTAAAACCTTATGTGCCAGAGCAATGCGAGGTTGTCAAGGTGGCAAAGATTAAAATTCTCGCCGCGAAATTTAAGTTTTGAGGGGGCGGGGTCCTTCTTTACCATCACCAACTCCAAGCAAGTTACTACGTCAAAAATACAGGCGAACCAAGCCACTTCGATACCAACGCAACCACGCAACCTTTCAACATTCTGGACTTAGACTGAAAGCATGAGCCGAGCCTGCAGCTCGTCTTCTCTATCATTCCTAGTTTACTGTAGTACGACCATCTCTTCAATCTAGTCTCTATAATGCAGCTCAGCAGCCACCCGG